AAGAAAAATATGATATAGGTGGCCGCTTGTTTTCTTCACAGCCAAAACTTCCAACCTGGCACGTGGTACTTTCGTTTGCCTTTTCCGGTTTGGTTGTGAGCAGCGTGCGATGCCTAATTGGTTTCATACGACGTCACGTCAGCAACAAGCTACACGTGCCAAGTGGTGGAATCCCCTCCAGACACATCACACCCTCTGCACTTTTTGCTCTTGTCCTGTCCAAACTTCGTAGGAACGCCATCTAAGCGTCCAATCGCTGAGGATCGTGACTGGTCTGCTTTGCAGCAAAACCGCTAAGTGTCCAATCACAGATGCTCTTGCCACATCACATGTTGCCAAAGAAGTCTCGGGAAGGCTCACGTCACGTCACGCGTGAGGAGGACAACGCAAAGGACGCCGAGGGGGGAGTGACATGTGGCGGCGCGAAACAGTGAAGACTTGCGTGGGAGCCGGTACACATGTATGTCTCTGTTTCACAGAAACTCGATTCACTTGTCTAAAAAACAGAGAAAATGGTACACCTAGCATGAGAAATTCAGAGAATTCTGGTAAAAGCTTGTCTAGGCCAATCAGAGTTTTTTCAAACCATTGTTTGAAAAATCAGAGAAACCCCTAAAAACCAGCCTAAAAATCAGACAAAAAAGTATGCTATTTAGGACCCTGCTGGTAAGCCCAGCGTGTCTCTCTGGCTGGTAACCTCAGCATGTGTCTCTGGCCGGTAACCCCAGCGTGTGTCTCTGGCTGGTAATCCTAGCGTGTGTCTCTGACTGGTAACCCCAGCATGTGTCTTTGGCTAGTATCCCCAGTGTGTGCCTCTGGCTAGTAGTAACTGTTAGAATAACAGAATGATTAGAACAAGTGAAAACAGGGGAGATATAGGGTTGGAGTTGTACCTTCTATAAACACACACCTATCTAGCCTATAATTTATACATATAAACATATGTATAAGTTGACACACCCCCTAGGCTAGATAAGAGGCAGTGCGGAGCAAGGAACACGCAGCTCAGGGTGGCACTACTAGTCCAACCTCTAAGGTAGGGGTCAAAAGACCAGTCAGCAAGGGTACAAACAAGACAAGAGCAAACCAGGCCGACACTACTAGTCCGGCCACTGGAAGAGAAGCCACAAGGCCAGTCAGGAAGGTATATATAAAAAAGAGTACACAATCAAGGTCCTAGCAGGTGAGTACCTACAGGAACTAGACCAAGCTGCAAACAGTGCCGCTGATGATCTTTAGGTGCAAGCGCCTTCGTAAAGATATTAGCTGTGTTGGCACCGGAGGGCCAAGTGTACTACGCGGGCCAGGCGACGCTGCTGTAGCTCGCGCAGGAAGAAGTACTACAGCTGGATGTGCTTCGCTTTGCCCTCAAGTCGAGGCTCTTGACACAGGAGGATCATGACCCTATTGTCAGCGTACAGAACCGGGACAGAGCTAGGCCGCTCACCTAAGTCGGTGAGCAAGAAGGTCACCCAGCGGAGCTTCTATGCCGCCATGGCACCAGCGTAGATCACAGCCTCACAGCTAGGCTGGACAACAGACGAGGAACGAGTCAACCTCCACGAGATGGCACCTGAACCAAGGCTCAAGCAGTAGCCCTAGGAGGACATGAGTGTCTCAGCGTCGTTTGACCAAGAAGCATCTGTGTGTCCAGTAAGGACCACTAGCCTGCGTCCTCCCAACACTAGCCCCATGCCCGATGTATTTGCTAGATAACGCAAAACCCTCTTAGCGGCCGACCAGTGCTGTGGCCGGTGTTTGCCGGACGCCACAAAGCAAGCCAGGATGCTGAGAGGGTATGCGAAATCTGGGCAAGTGCAAGTCATCAGGTACATGAGGCAACCCACCAGCTCTGCGTAAGGACCATTGGGCTCTACTGACTCCTCAGAAACTGGTGCAGAGAGCCTATGGTCTACTGGCAGAGGTGTGGGCTGTACAGAGGAGAACTGAAGGCCAAACCTCTGAAGGACCTGGCGTACCAAGTGTGACTGTGTAAGAGTGATGGTGCGTTCTGCTCTGTCCTTGGAAACATGCAGGCCAAGGTAGCGGCACAGCTCTCCTAGGTCAGTGCATGTGAGTCTCCTCAGTAGCTCGGCCTTCACGGAGGCCAGTGCGTCTTTGTCTGCAGTAGCGAAGACAAGGTCGTCTACGCAGACAAGGATGTAGAACGGAGTCTGGCCAGCACGAACGAAGAGCGAGGGGTCTGCAAACGACGGGAAGAACTGTAGGTCAGCCAGCGCAGCATGCAGAGTGTCGTGCCACTCACGGGGCGCCTGTCGCAGGCCGTAGACCGGGCGCCTGAGGAGCCATTGGGTCCCAGGAAGGAAGGTACCGGTGAAGCCCTGTGGACGGCGCAGGTAGACCTGCTCATATCGGCTGCCCTGAAGAAAAGCAGTGGAGAAATCGAGGGAGTGGAGCTCGTAGTCACGCTGTGCTGCTACGTATAGCAGTGCCCGAAGAGTAGTCATCTTCGGGGTCGGGGCGAAGGTCAGAAAGAAGTCCACACCCTCGCGCTGACTTAAGGCCTTAGCAACGTAGCGCGCCTTGAACATCGGCGGCTCTCTAAGGGGGCGCTTCACATTGAAGAGCCACCGGCCATCGACTACGTCCACCCCAGGTGGGGGAACTGCGTCGACGTAGGTGCCGGTGGATCTCCAAGATGCCATCTCCTGCTCCATGGCAGCTATCCACTGAGAGGCCCAGGGTCCAGAGGTCGCCTCAGCGTAAGTGCGAGGGGTCGGGATGTCAAAGGCGTCTGGGTCACCCTCAGGGACTAGCAGCATGGAACAGAGATGGGGAGCGGCCTTAGACAGGAAAGCAAGCTCGTACTACCTGTCCTCTAGGACGTCACTTCCAAAGGCAGGAGCATCCCCGACAGACGGAGGACAGACAGGGTCAGAGACCAGAGCGGTGGCGTAGTCAAGGCGGCGGGTAGAGGCGAAGTCAGCGACAACAGCGACAAGAGCATCAAGACTGGAGACAGGAACAGACAAGTCAGTAACGAGGGAGGCAAGGACCCGAGGAACAAGAGGACGAGGGGCCAGCGGGGCGCTAATGGCCGGCGGGCACGCGAGGGGCCGGTGGGGCACTAAGGGCCGGCGGGGCGCTAAGGGCCGGCGAGGCGCTAAGGGCCGGCAAGGCGTGCGGGGGGAGGGGGCCGGCGGGGTATGCTAGGGGCCGGCGGGGCGCTAAGGGCTGGTGGGGCGCTAAGGGCCGGCGGGCACGCGAGGGGCCGGCGGGGTATGCGAGGGGCCAGCGGGGCGCTAAGGGCCGGCAAAGCACGTAGGGGACCAGCGGGCGCGAGAGGGGTCGTCGGGGCGCTAAGGGCCGGTGGGGCGCGCTAAGGGGAACGACGGGGTGGTAGGCTAGGGCTAGGGCGGAAGCGGGTGGGCGAACCTAACCTACTATGATACCATGTTAGAACAGCAGAATGATGAGAACAAGTGAAAACAGGGGAGATATAGGGTTGGAGTTGTACCCTCTATAAACAGACACCTATCTAGCCTATAACTTCTATATATAAACATATGTATAAGTTGATAGTAACCCCTAGTGTCTCTTGCTGGTAACCCCAGTGTGTCCCTCTGGCTGGTAACCCCAGCGTGTGTCTCTGGCTGGTAATCCCAGCGTGTGTCTCTGGCTGGTAACCCCAGTGTGTGTCTTTGGCTGGTATCCCAGCGTCTGCCTCTGGCTGGTAGTATCCCCAGCGTGTCTCTTTGGCTTATAACCCCAGCGTGTGTCTCTGGTTGGTAACCCCAGCTTCTGTCTCTGGCTGGTTATCCAGCTCATCCGTCTGGCTGGTGTCTGCCGCGCATGTTTGGATTGGGTACATGCTCAGATGGGTGCATGCTTCTGGTTGGTGCATCCATCCAACACATGGGTCTGGCCGGGCTGGTTGTATGTCACACAAGCTAAGGTGGGTGTATGCTGCACATGTTTTGGGTGGGTTTACACATGCTTCTAGTCGGTGCAAGCGGCACATGTTTATGGTGAGTAGGTGCAACGCACATGCCATCACTTCTTTCTAGTAAGTGCAAGCAGCACATGTTTTGGGTCAGTGCAGGTGGCACATGTTTTTGGTAGGTGGAAGCAGCAAATCATTCGGCACATGTTTCTAGCTGGTGCAAGCGGCACATGCCACTGGTGAGTGTAAACAGCAGAGCAAATGTTTCCGGTACGTGCGAGCAACAAGCACATTTATTTTTCTGGTTGGTGCATGTAGCACAATTTTCTAGTACGTGTATGTGACACATGTTTCTGGTGGTTGGTGCAAGTGGCACATGCTTCTGGTGAGTGCATGCAAGCTTTACAAGTTTTTGGTGTGTGTTTGGCACTTGTTTGAAAGTAGCAATCACGTTTCTTTTTGGTTGGTGCAAGGGACACGTATGTCTTGTGGGTGCTTGCTAGCGGCACAAAGTTTTGGTGGGTGCAGGTAGCATGTCTTTCTCGTGGGGGGTGCATTTATCAGATGACATTGTTTCCCCTTCACATGCTGCACAAATAGTGAGGCATGAGCTTTAGAATGTTGCCACATGACTCTATGCTACAACTAGATGGCATGCACAAATATCGGAGCATTACCAACTGTTTGCAACCTGTTTGCACTCATTGCCAGAGACATGCTCGTCTGATGAACATATGGTATTTTTTAGGTTGTCTGTATTTTCAGACAGAATGTAGCCGATCATCTGATTTTGCAGATGAAATGCTCAACTTGGTCTGAACTGGGCCGTAGCTTAAGCAATTACAATTAAAGGCCAGCTAGCAATCTACTGCTGCTAGAACAAAATAGCTAGAATAAATATTAATGTACAAGTGCTCCCTAAGGGTCTGCCACTAAGGCTAAAAGAGCTAGTGCTGCCATAGGACCGGCTACTGCCGATGCTTCTAGAGCTATTGTTGCTGCATTTACCCCTCTGCTGGCGCCGCTACAAGTACTGCTCTGCTAGTGCCGCCACCTGCAGCAGGACTGTTGCTGCTGGTATTGCTGCTGCCAGAGCGCCTCACCCACCAAAGCCTTTCAGACCCATGTTGCCAAGGCTGACATGGAGGAAGGCCTTGTGGAAGCCTCTTCCTGGATAGGCTTTTCCCTGCCCTCCTCCTCCTCCTCCTCCTCCTCCTCCTCCTCCTCCTCCTCCTCCTCCTCCTCCTCCTCCTCCTCCTCTCTCTCTTCCTTTCTCTCCTGGTCGCCCTTAATCTCATTGATAGCAGCATGGCACCCTCGCTCTCTTGGCAAAACTGCAGCGTGGCACGCCCGCTCTCGTGGCCAAACTGCAATCAATAAACCCCCTCCCGCAACATCAACACAGCCTGTATGTATTCCTTTCCTTCCATATTTGCTAACATGTTCTGGCCTCTAGTCTCGCATTGCTGGCCTCTAATACGCGGTGATTCATTGGCAAAGGGGCAAGCATGATGATGCAGAAGTGAACCAATCTACGTGTGATTTTCCGAGTGAGTCCAGTGGAGGGAGAAGGTGCATCCAGGCGAACACCAAGCTTTTACGGGCAAACAGCGCCACCAATTTCCCACCCTGTGTGTACCCGTGCCCGTGCCTGTGCCTGTGCGTGTGCGTGTGTGGGCAGAAGAAATACCTGGTGCATGTTCGAGAGGGCAAGTTTCCAAGGGTACTTCGGCCTTGTGCTTGCCGTGCAGCGGCAGCCTGTGGTGGTCCCCATCGAGGCCACCGCTACCTCCTTCATCACATACAATGGGGTATGAATTCCACAGACCAAGCACAAAGGGAAACCCATCTCTCATGTGAGACTGGATTGTGTATTCGGTGCACCGAATACAGCAACAATTGTGGGCTACCAGCCGACGAATCGACGCTACTGGTTGATTCATTCAATTTTTGAATCACAGGGTTCATTGGTTTTTTTTCTAAAGAGTTTTGAGGTGCCTCAAAAAAGGAATCACAGGGTTCATTGGTTTCTTTTCTGAAGAGTTTTGAGGCGCCTCAAAAAAGGAATCACAGGGTTCATTGGTTTCTTTTCTGAAGAGTTTTGAGGCGCCTCAAAAAAGGAATCACATGGTTCATTGGTTTCTTTTCTGAAGAGAACTGGGCCTTGATCTCAGTGCCCTGTGCGTGCATGCCTTGTCGTCATTCAAGTGTGTCCTTTGTGTTGTGGTCCTTTGTGGCGTCTGCTGCAGTTGCTCAGGTACAACGATCCAGAGTGCTACACGAGCAACCTCAACCACGTTGTACTCGTTACAGCCTTCTGATGGGCACTGATGACAGCCGGCCGCACATCAATCCGCCCTTCAGGAGGATCCGCAACTCGTGGGGCACGCAGTGGGGGGAGAATGGGTATATTCACATGGGCTTAACGCCAGGGGATGGCATCTGTGGCATCAACGTGCTGCCTGGCATCTACCACGTCATTAGAAGTGAGTGCTCGAGACACCTCAGACCAGAGAACCCCTGCCCTGTGTCAAACTCGAGTCGCCTTGGCCATCAGATCAGGCTTGTCCAACAGGCCAACAGGCTTGTCAGCTTGTGTCCCCATGGCATCTTTTGTGACCTTTTGCAATCTTTTGCCCATTTTAGCTCACCATGCCCTCTGGTCCTGCCCTCTAGCCGTTCGTGCCCACTGGTCCTGCCCTCTAGTCGTGCCCACTAGTTATGCCTGCTAGGGATTTCTGCTAGTCATCCCTCTTTCACATCTTTTTGCCGGTGCCTGGTAGTGATGCCTTTGTGTCTATGTCAGTTTAATCAACATGATGGTCCTCCTCTCTTTCTCCCTGCCCCATCAGTCCTCACCGACCCATGCATGCTCAACGCATTCAAGTTGGATGACGAAATCTCGCCAGTCATGAACCCGTGTGGGAAGTACACATGCCTTCCCAAGGACAATTCCAACAGCTGCGAATGCAAGCATCCGTTCAAAGAGGTTCCCAATGAAGATGGCTCTCACTCCTGCGCATATAGTGAGTCTGCTCTTGTAGACTATGTGTGAGTCTCCTCAATACGGACAAGCAATCGCGTGAGGACTATGTGTGCTATTCCCTCTAGAGCAGGGTGTTTGTGAGAATTCTCAAAAACTCCCTGCAAAAGTGAGGACTGTGTGTGCTATTCCCTCTAAAGCAGGGTGTTTGTGAGAATTCTCAAAAACACCCTACAAAGGTGAGGACTATGTGTGCTATCCCTCTTAACCCCTTCTGCACCTGTATTTACTGACCCTCTCATAAGCACTGCCAAAAGGCCATAGCTCAAGTAGTAGTCATTCTTGGTGTGGGTAGCCACCCACGAGAAAGGACAGAAAGGTGTGGGCAGCCTAGAGGTTTATTGAGCAGCTCAGAAGCGCTGCATGTACGCGAGAAGTATAGACAGGAGGTGTGTTTTGGAATCCTGAACTTGGACAGTAACGCGCACATAGTCCTGCCCAGTGGCCCCCCCATTTGCTGCAGTGCCTTGTCAGTGCGGGTGCGCAGGGCAGCACACCTAACATCAGCTTGCTCCCTCTGTGCCTGCTTGGTTGCTTGCCTCTCAGTTGATGTTTGCAAGGGCAGTGCGCAGAACCCATGTGAGGCAGGCACATGCATCAACGATGAGAAGGGCTCCTACACCTGTATCTGCCCTCCCACTTACATGCTAGACACCACCGTCGATAGCTTCCCAACCTGCTCCACAAGTACGGTAACCCTGTAATCGACCTCCGTAACCCTGTGCATCCCCTCCGCTACAAGCTGCTCCTGTCCACGTGAAGTCACTCGCCCTGCCTTTCTTCCACTCCCTGTGTTGGCTATCACCAAAATGCGTCCCTCCTTCCATCACCCCTGGCCTTACTTCCGTCAGCCATAACAATCATTCTTCTCCATCACCCCTGGCCTTACTTTCGTCAGCCATAACAATCATTCTTCTCCCTGCCAAGTGATTACAACTAACTCGTTGCCAGCTGATTCCTTCCTTTGCTTCAGCAATAAGCTCGCACCCTTCCTTCATCCTTGTCTCCCCTCCCCTGTCCTCCCCTGTCCTCCCCTGTCCTCCCCTGTCCTCCCGTTTCCTCCCCCTTCCACGCCTTCCTTCCCCTCTCTTTCGTTTCCTCCCTCCCTGACTCCCACCATGCCTGTCCGTGGCCAGGTTGGGGCGTTGCCCCCACACTGGTGGTGAGCGGGAGCAACTGGAATTGTTCCGACGTTCATTCTCTCGTCGGGCTCACGCTAGAGCAGTTCAAAACCATGAACCCTGTGAGATTTCTGACTCAGCCTTTTGAGTCGACTCAAAAGTCACCTTTTGATGGCTCAGCCTATAGCAGTTAAAAGCCATGAACCCTGTGAGATTTCTGACTCTGCCTTTTGAGTCGACTCAAAAGTCACCTTTTGATGGCTCAGCCTATAGCAGTTAAAAGCCATGAACCCTGTGAGATTTCTGACTTGGTGTTACATTCCTCATCATGTTGACTGTTCTGCCACTACTTCACTCACTGGTTCCATGCACTCTCCTTTTGTTGTGAATAATTGGAGGGGGAAGAACATTGATAGCAAGATGTTGCTGCGGCTGCCACAATACTAGTTCCGCTAGTCAGGGTTGAATAAAGTAGAGGTTTTGCGTCTTTCCAATTGCAGGATGTCATCTGCTCGAAGTACCTCACAGAGGGTAGCGTGCTTAAAACGAGGTCAAATGTGACTGCGTGCTCTGCGTTCTACTACACACTGCCAGTGAGTGCTGCTCTCAACTCACGAGTGCTCTGCTGCGTTTCTAAGGCGCTTTGAGGAACCATGCAATCATGCTTGTACGATTCACTGTTTCGCATTTCCAGCTGCTACTGTGAAGGCATTGCCCTCTTTCTCTCCTTTTTTTTGCTTCACACTTGCATCCACTCTGATTGCACTGCCCTCTTTCCCACCACTTGCCCTCTCTCTCTCTGTCTCCCTCTCCCTCCCTCTCTCCCCCCTCTCTCCCCACTCCCTCTGCCAGAAAGACACCTGCTCCTCAGTTGAAACCTTCCTCTGCCAGAAAGACACCTGCACCCCAGTCAATTTGATGGCGCTCAACCCGGGCCTTGACTGCTCAGCTCTCAAATTCTCCCGCTCCCTTTGCGTCGAGCGGGACCCTGCAGCTCTGAACACTGTTCCCAGCTGCATTAGTACCAAGTTCATAAGGAACCAGGAGGAGTGCAAGACTAGAGCGACGAATAATAACATTACTATGGTAGAGTTTTACCGAATGAACCCAGGGTTCAGATGTGACGTTCCTTCGCAGTTGGGTGAAGCTGGAAGAACGCAGGTGCAGGTGAGAACATGGCTGGTTGGGATATGGCAAGTTGTTCGGTTGATTTCTCTGGCAAGTTTTCAGGGAATGGGGTGATGCTGAGATGAGTGACAAATCTGGGTTGGTGTGTGGGGATGTGGTGTTGGTTGTGGTATTTGCTCTGCCTCTCACATCTGTGTTTCTTTTTTATTCCCCTGGCTGCAGGCTTGTGTGAAAGCAGAGTATCTCGACTATGGAAGCGGTGGATGTGTCAAAGGATGAAGGAAGAAGTACTTAAAAGCTGGCACATCGTGTATGAGCATCTATGCCAGCAGTTTCGGAGGTGATCGGACGAAATTTGAGAAGTTGAACAATAAATGTTCAGGCACTATTAGGGGGAAGCATCTAGCACAGGTGCCTTTATGTGTGTAAGCTAGAGAAAGTTCCCGATAGATCTAATGGTTTATTAACCCCCGCTTTCTGAGAGTAAACTATCATGATCAGGGTAAGGGGTGATATATTAGTCGAATCTAATGGCTATTTATAGACCCTTCGTTTAGCCATTCCTGTCCCTATGTGTAGTTATGCGCATCTGTATTCGCGTTCGCACCAGCAACAAGATTACAGCGCGTATTCGCGTCCTTCAGTTCGACCCTGCCAGATCCTCGTGCTGGTCGGTAGTGGTATTTAGCTCCTTTGTCGGTTTTAACTCGGTGCAAGTCTGTGCGGTGACTACAACCGTTGGGCTGAAAGGGGACCGACGCGGGGCCGCAGTTAGGGACGACCGTCGAGAGTGGCGTTGAACGATGCGCGACTGAAAGGCGTATTGCTCGCTCGTCCACCCGAAGCCGGCCTGCAGCTGGACGACGCCGTTGGTCGGACGCGTCTGGGTACTAACAGCAGCAGCTCACGGTGTAGGCAGTAACGACTCATCCGCGTAGTTGCCAGCGTGGTTGTCTAATCATCTGCGTGACCGCGCTTCGTCAGCCAGCCGTTAAACTGCGGCGATGACGATCCGCTTCATCCTGCTGGTCAACAAGCAGGGCCAAACCCGCGTCGCGCAATATTATGAGTACATGCGGCTCGAGGAGCGGCGCGCCTTAGAAGGCGAAATTGTGCGCAAGTGCCTCGCGCGATCTGAGCAGCAGGTGGGATGCGGGGGAGGTGGGATGCGATGTAGCGAGGTAAGCATGGGGCTGGGCTTTGGCGACGCGACGCGTGGCGCAGCGTGGAAAGCTGGATGTGATTAACGTCGCGACGCGGCAGGCGCTAGCGGAGGATGGTTGAGGCGCCATGGGAAGAGCACCGGTACAGAAAGAGCTGGTAGGGTGGGGAGTTAGAGCCGTTGGGAGGATGCGGAGTTAGCTGCTGGTAGGTTTGGGTCGGGGGAGAGGTCATAGGTGGAGGTAGGTGGGGGGTTGGGTCAGGGGGGGGATAGAATAAGCGCGATGGGAGGATAGAATAAGCGCGATGGGAGGATAGAATAAGCGCGATGGGAGGAGAGCGCGTACGGAAAGAGCGGCGAGGGTGAGGTGGAGTGATAGAGCCGTTGGGAGGAGACGGACGCAACTTTTGAGGTGCCTCTCAGGAGGATAGTATACGCGCGATGAGGAGAGCCGGTACGGAAAAAGCGGGAAGGGAAGAGTGACAAAGCCGTGGGGAGGATACGGAGGCAGCCAGTTAGGTTGGGTCAGGGGAGAGGTTATAAGTGGGTGAGTACAAGGAGGTAGCCATTAACGGGGATATTGTGAATTTCAGGCTTGATTGTTGTCGGGATTCCTAATACGTTGTGATCATCCTCGTTTGGGCAGTGCTCGTTTGTGGAGCACCGCAACTACAAGGTCATCTACCGGCGCTATGCGTCACTCTTCTTCCTAGTCGGCGTGGACGGCGAAGAGGTAAGATTGGCATGTCCTCATCTCTTTTTACTACAGATTTATCCCCTCACTCTTGCCCCCGACCCCCTCTCCCCCCTCCCTCCCCTCCCCTCCCCTTCTTCTCCCCCCTCCCTCCCCCCCTCCCCCTCTTCTTCCCCCTCACTCCCTGATCCGCTCTGTCTTTCCCTCAAAATGCTTCCCCGCGTCCGTTTTCTTCATCCCTTCCCCCCTTTCGCCGGCAGAACGAGCTGGCAGTGCTGGCAGTGCTGGCAGTGCTGGCGGTGCTGGCAGTGCTGGCGGTGCTGGCGGTGCTGGCGGCGCTGGCAGTGCTGGCAGTGCTGGCAGTGCTGGCAGTGTTCGTTCACTGCACCGTGCTGCTGCCCGCCACCTATTGTGATTCCGCATTCTCGCCTCTTGCTCCCTCTCAACCCCCACTCCCCGCCTGCCAGAACGAGCTGGCGGTGCTGGAGTTCATTCACTGCATCGTGGAAACCATGGACCGATACTTCGGCAACGTGGTGAGTCCCAGGCCACGTGGTGAGTAGCAGGCCACGTGGTGAGTAGCAAGCCACGTGGTGAGTAGCAGGCCACGTGGTGAGTAGCAGGCCACGTGGTGAGTAGCAGGCCACGTGGTGAGTAGCAGGCCACGTGGTGAGTAGCAGGCCACGTGGTGAGTAGCAGGCCACGTGGTGAGTAGCAGGCCACGTGGTGAGTAGCAGGCCACGTGGTGAGTGGCAGGCCACGTGGTGAGTAGCAGGCCACGTGGTGAGTAGCAGGCCACGTGGTGAGTAGCAGGCCACGTGGTGAGTGGCAGGCCACGTGGTGAGTAGCAGGCCACGTGGTGAGTAGCAGGCCACGTGGTGAGTAGCAGGCCACGTGGTGAGTAGCAGGCCACGTGGTGAGTAGCAGGCCACGTGGTGAGTAGCAGGCCACGTGGTGAGTAGCAGGCCACGTGGTGAGTAGCAGGCCACGTGGTGAGTAGCAGGCCACGTGGTGAGTAGCAGGCCACGTGGTGAGTAGCAGGCCACGTGGTGAGTAGCAGGCCACGTGGTGAGTGGCAGGCCACGTGGTGAGTAGCAGGCCACGTGGTGAGTGGCAGGCCACGTGGTGAGTGGCAGGCCACGTGGTGAGTAGCAGGCCACGTGGTGAGTAGCAGGCCACGTGGTGAGTAGCAGGCCACGTGGTGAGTAGCAGGCCACGTGGTGAGTAGCAGGCCACGTGGTGAGTAGCAGGCCACGTGGTGAGTAGCAGGCCACGTGGTGAGTAGCAGGCCACGTGGTGAGTAGCAGGCCACGTGGTGAGTAGCAGGCCACGTGGTGAGTAGCAGGCCACGTGGTGAGTAGCAGGCCACGTGGTGAGTAGCAGGCCACGTGGTGAGTAGCAGGCCACGTGGTGAGTAGCAGGCCACGTGGTGAGTAGCAGGCCACGTGGTGAGTAGCAGGCCACGTGGTGAGTAGCAGGCCACGTGGTGAGTGGCAGGCCACGTGGTGAGTAGCAGGCCACGTGGTGAGTAGCAGGCCACGTGGTGAGTAGCAGGCCACGTGGTGAGTAGCAGGCCACGTGGTGAGTAGCAGGCCACGTGGTGAGTAGCAGGCCACGTGGTGAGTAGCAGGCCACGTGGTGAGTGGCAGGCACACGTGGTGAGTAGCAGGCCACGTGGTGAGTGGCAGGCCACGTGGTGAGTGGCAGGCCACGTGGTGAGTATCAGGCCACGTGGTGAGTAGCAGGCCACGTGGTGAGTAGCAGGCCACGTGGTGAGTAGCAGGCCACGTGGTGAGTAGCAGGCCACGTGGTGAGTAGCAGGCCACGTGGTGAGTAGCAGGCCACGTGGTGAGTAGCAGGCCACGTGGTGAGTAGCAGGCCACGTGGTGAGTAGCAGGCCACGTGGTGAGTAGCAGGCCACGTGGTGAGTAGCAGGCCACGTGGTGAGTAGCAGGCCACGTGGTGAGTGGCAGGCCACGTGGTGAGTAGCAGGCCACGTGGTGAGTAGCAGGCCACGTGGTGAGTAGCAGGCCACGTGGTGAGTGGCAGGCCACGTGGTGAGTAGCAGGCCACGTGGTGAGTAGCAGGCCACGTGGTGAGTAGCAGGCCACGTGGTGAGTAGCAGGCCACGTGGTGAGTAGCAGGCCACGTGGTGAGTAGCAGGCCACGTGGTGAGTAGCAGGCCACGTGGTGAGTAGCAGGCCACGTGGTGAGTAGCAGGCCACGTGGTGAGTAGCAGGCCACGTGGTGAGTAGCAGGCCACGTGGTGAGTGGCAGGCCACGTGGTGAGTAGCAGGCCACGTGGTGAGTAGCAGGCCACGTGGTGAGTAGCAGGCCACGTGGTGAGTAGCAGGCCACGTGGTGAGTAGCAGGCCACGTGGTGAGTAGCAGGCCACGTGGTGAGTAGCAGGCCACGTGGTGAGTAGCAGGCCACGTGGTGAGTAGCAGGCCACGTGGTGAGTAGCAGGCCACGTGGTGAGGAGCAGGCCACGTGGTGAGTGGCAGGCACACGTGGTGAGTAGCAGGCCACGTGGTGAGTGGCAGGCCACGTGGTTAGCTGCTCAAGTCCCACTGTCTCTCTCTTTCTCTTACCGCTCCCTGTACTCCTCTCTCCCCCGCTCTCCCGTCCCCTCTTCCTTATGTTGTCTTTTTGTCCCATCATGTCTCCTCTATCTCTTTCCCCCGTCTCTCCTTCGTCATTGTTGGTGTTGCCTCGGTACCATTGCCCGTGCTCTCCCCCCTCCGCCCACCACATGTCTACGTCTTCTCAAGCATACTGCAGTTGCAGTGCGAGCTGGGCATCATGATTCACCTGGAGAATGCCTACTTTATCCTCATGCCTCATGCCTCATCCCCTCTCCTCTCATGCCCCCATGCCCCTATGCCCCCATGCCCCCATACCCCCATGCCCTCATCCCACCCTGCAGTGCGAGCTGGACATCATGTTCCACCTGGAGAAGGCGTACTTCATTCTGGACGAGATGGTGATGAACGGGTGTGTCATGGAGACCAACAAGCTCAACATCCTCGCGCCCATCCAGCTCATGGACAAGTCCTCGTAGCGCAAGGCCTCAAAGCACAACCTGTGTGTGTTGGGTCCATTCACTTGGTATCTGTGTTGGCTGGCTTCATTGCATGTTTATATTTGCTTTTGTAACAGACCCTTCTGTGTAGTGAAGTGCTGGCTACGTTGTACAGAACTTGGTTCCAGAAATGCCGAGTGTCTTGGAACTCTGATCTACAGGACAAAGCCTTGTTAAACACTACTGTCCAGTGAACGGTTGCACTTGCACTGCACTGCCATCTACTCAATACAACACAGCTCTTCAGAAAAAAGGTTCTTCACTTCACTGCATGACCAGTCTCTTTTTCACTCCCAACAGCAACACTCTCCTGGTCAATGTGTTGAGTGACCCGCTGGGGTTGCCCTTGAGATCCTCGGGGAAGGGCCACAGGTGCAGAGCCTGGGGGGCTATGGGCGCACTTACCCGCTATTCAACAAGCCCTTTTAACCCAGTGGTTAGTGGCTGGGTTTCTGACATGGTACATCAGAGCCAAAGGTCTTGGGTTCAACTCCCAGTGCCAGCGCTGCAGAGGCGCTCGTGTCTTCCACCTATCCCAGCGGGGGGGGGGGTGTTGAGTGACCCGCTGGGGTTGCCCTTGAGATCCTCGGGGAAGGGCCACAGGTGCAGAGCCTGGGGGGCTATGGGCGCACTTACCCGCTATTCAACAAGCCCTTTTAACCCAGTGGTTAGTGGCTGGGTTTCTGACACAATGCTGCCTCTACTGCAGACAACTACCTCAAACACACGTGTGCTGAATCAATGTCTCAACCAACATGGCCCAACAAGGCACACCAGCCAACTCTGTTGCATTCACGTGGCGAGCACCTGGCAGCCCAGCACGGCATTTGTGAGCACCAGCTCTGACCCCTTCTCCCCTGCCCCTGGCCCAGGTATCACTTTCACCAGTACCACCTCATCCTCACCCCCCTCCTCATCTTCCTCGTCCTCCTCCCCATCGCTCCTCCCACATCTCTCCTCCTCATGCCCTCTCTCCCCTCCCAATGACACGTGCCCACTCTCCCCCTCTCCCCCCTCCTCTCTCCTCCACACATCCCCCCACACACCCCCACCTTCCTCCACCTCACCTGCCACCATCCCCTCTTCGCTCAGCTCACTCCATCTCCCACTCCCCCTCCCTCTCGCCCTCCCCTCCCTCTCCCTCCTCCTCCTCTGTCTCTCCAATGATCGCAGCAGGGGCGGCAGAGGGGCCATAACGAGCGACCTGTCCGGCAGAACGAGACAGATGTAGTCCAGGAAGCAGACAAGCTGCGCCGCCCACGGCTTGTGCGACACCGCCGGCAGCCGGACCTGGCCGACCCACGCCCAGGCCTGCGTGTGCGCGTCCCACGTCTTGAGCTTGTAGTCGTCGCCAAAGTCCACTATGAACATGTGGCCCTGCACTGACGTCGTGGGGCCCTGCCAGCCCTGAGAGGGAGGGTTGAGAAGAGGGATGAGGAGAGGGGAAGAGGAGTTAGGAGTGGTTTACAGTGCCTCACACAATAGCCTAAGTCCACCATGAACTTATGGCCCTGCACTGATGCTGTGGGGCCCTGCCAGCCCTGGGAGGAGGAAAGGCGAGGGGAGGGGACGAGGGACGGAAGGGACATGGAAGAGTACCTAGGACACTGTATTCCAGAACAGAAGGCTACCAGCATGGCACACCTAGGCCCACCGGCACCATGGAGAGCATGTGCCACTGAAGCGGTTGGTGATGCTCAAGCGCCATAAGTTATGTATGAAGCGTGCATGCCAGTCACAGCACTCCCCCAGCCTCATCTGCACCGAAACTGAGCATTGCCCTGCGGGTTGGAAGTGATGCCCAACCGCTGCCTTATGATCCTGCATAGCACACATCGCCCCACCATGCCCCACCACGCCCCACCACCAGCACCCACCAGCACCCACCAGCACCCTCCAGCACCCACCTGCACCATGGCTGGGGGCAGCTCCCTGAGCGTGTTGGTAAGCGGGTTGAATGCAATGCCCAGGCGCTGCCCCCACCCGATGTTCTTTGCCACCAGGCACCCGCTCAGCACCGTCTGGTAACCGGGTAACGTCATGAGCTCCGCACGGGATGATGTGGTGACCTGCTAGGGAGCAGGAAGGAACAGCGAAGGGAGGGAGGAGGAAGAATGGGGAAGGGCAGGGGCGACAATGCACATCCTATGAATGCCATTGACGACAGCCTGGCAGCTGGCTGGGCAGCCGATTCCATGGGCGAGCCAGGCTGTTGAGAGTGCCCTCCAATGCCCCACGCCACATACTGCATACCCGCACCACACCCCATGCCCCTCGTCACACCCCGCACCCCATGCCCCCTCACCACACCCCGCACCCCATGCCCCCTCACCACACCCCGCACCCCATGTCCCCTCACCACACCCCGCACCCCATGTCCCCTCACCACACCCCGCACCCCATGTCCCCTCACCACACCCCGCACCCCATGTCCCCTCACCACACCCCGCACCCCATGTCCCCTCACCACACCCCGCACCCCATGTCCCCTCACCACACCCCGCACCCCATGTCCCCTCACCACACCCCGCACCCCGTGCCCTCTAACCTGCGTGCGCCCATTCCTCACCTGCTCCCATTCCTCACCTGCTCCCACGCGTCCCTGTCCATGTCATACGCCTCCACCGATCCCACCAGCGCCAGGCTGTTAGACGTGCCGATACCCCCCGCCACGTACAGCCGGTCCCGCACCACGCCAAACATGCAGAACCACCTCCCCGTGCCGATGGCGGCTGCTCGCTTCCACTCGTTTCTGCAGGTGGTATGTGGGGCAGGTGGATATGACGAGGGGGTGAGTGGGAGGAGGAGGGGAGGGAGGAGGGGGAGAGAAAGAGAGAGAGTAGACACAGAGTGAGCACGCCATACATATCGGGAGATGCTGAGGGGTCATAGATGAACCCAGCACTGGCGCTGTCAAACGGGTCCTTCCTCTCCACCACACTCCCTTCCTCTCTATCCACGGTCCACCACACTCCCTTCCTCTCTATCCACGGTCCACCACACTCCCTTCCTCTCTATCCACGGTCCACCACACTCCCTTCCTCTCTATCCACGGTCCACCACACTCCCTTCCTCTCTATCCACGGTCCACCACACTCCCTTCCTCTCTATCCACGGTCCACCACACTCCCTTCCTCTCTATCCACGGTCCACCACACTCCCTTCCTCTCTATCCACGGTCCACCACACTCCCTTCCTCTCTATCCACGGTCCATCACACTCCCTTCCTCTCCATCCACGGTCCACCACACTCCCTTCCTCTCTATCCACGGTCCACCACACTCCCTTCCTCTCCATCCACGGTCCACCACACTCCCTTCCTCTCTATCCACGGTCCACCACACTCCCTTCCTCTCTATCCACGGTCCACCACACTCCCTTCCTCTCTATCTACAGTCCACCACACTCCCTTCCTCTCTATCCACGGTCCACCACACTCCCTCCCCCTCTCTCTCCACCACACTGCCTCTCGCTCTCCCCCTCCCGTATAAGCCGCACGCGCACACCGCGATGGGTCATAGATGAACACGCCCGACGCAGAGTCCAGCGGGTCCTCCCGCTCCACCACGCCCGCCACCAGCAGCCGCCCCTTCACCGCGGCAAACTGCAGCGTGAGCACGGACCGATGCTGCGCGCCAGGGATGGGCGGCAGGGTGTGCCACGCGCTGCTGCTGGGGTCGAACGCCATGCATGCGTTGTGGCCCTGGGGGAGGGGAGGGGGGGGGTGATGAAGGGGATGGTCAAACGCCACACACGCGTTGTGGCCCTGGCGGGTTGAGCACGAGGAAAGGGGGTAGGCATCCGCTTTGGCATCCACTTTGGCATCCACTTTGGCATCCGCTTTGGCATCCACTTTGGCATCCGCTTTGGCATCCACTTTGGCATCCACTTTGGCATCCGCTTTGGCATCCACTTTGGCATCCGCTTTGGCATGGGCTTTGGAAGGAACAAAAGGCCGTCTGCACAACTCGTGTCATATGATCGGAATAGAACCTATTTGCCCCCACGCTCACCTGCCAATCACTGATGGATGCATAGAGCCAAGGTTCGGCAAGCCCGAGCCTCTTCCGAGCCTGGAAGTAGAGGCTCGACCCGAGGCTGTCATGCCAGCGCCGGCAGACGGCCCTGAGGAGCAGCAGGCAGCTCCGAGGCACGCGCAGAAGAATGGCCCAAGCCAGGTCGTCCGGGAGGCCCGGGAGGAACGGCGGCTGATCCTCACCGTTGATCGCCGCATCGGCGGCTCTCACGGCCCGAGCCTCCTTTCCAGCTTCGGACATACTGTCTGTTCGTCCGTCCCCTCCCTCACGCCCTCTCCCTCCTCCAGTTCCCTCTACACTGCTTAGAGCGACCCCTCCTTCCGGTGAAGCAGTGGCAGCAGCAGTTGAAGCGAGAGCAGCAGGAGCAGCCAACCCGGCCGCTGCTGGTTCTCCTTCCGATGAGGGCAAGTCTGTGTCATCTGAACGGCCATCCGTCATGGACCCTCCTGCCGCTGCTCCTGCCGCCACTGCTCCTGCGACTGCAGAGACTTCTTCCCACCGCCTGAACCACTCCCTCCGGCGGCCGCTTCAGCAGCGGCACCTCGTATCAAGGCTCGGCTGGCCTGAAAGGCAGTCCTCCCGAAAGCGCTGTCTGCCGCTGCCGTGTTTAACAGGTCTTCCGCAATTTCCACACCTACTGCGGATAAGGTTTCCGCGCCTACTGCGGGTAAGGCTTCCGCGACTACTGCGGGTAAGGTTTCCGCGCCTACTGCGCCTGCGGTCTCTGCGTGCGCTCCTCGCAGCGGCGGGCTGTCCGGCAACACGCCTTCCGCCGGCTCCTGCTCGGGTTGCTCGCTGGCGACGGGAACGGATTCAGCTACTGAACTGTGAGGTGCCTCCAAGCTAGGCTCGGTTTCCGTTGTGAAGGCTGGCGGTTGTTATGCACCACAAATAACTCGGTTTCAGGTAAATAAGGATAACAGGACACAGCGAGGTGGACTATGTCACAATCGAGGCACCGACACTCGCGGATATTCTCGTTGTCATCAATGAGAGACCAGCCAAATTGTGTTTGATGTTCCTCCTGAAGCGCATCACTTCCAAGATTTCGAAATCCTCTCCAAAGCAAGCCGACTCTGATTTGACATTCTGAACCCTGGGTATTCCGGACCACACATGATCCTGGTTACAGTCGATAGGGTTACAATGGAATCACGAAAATACAATAGAGCTTGTTATCTTTCACTGCCTTAGTCGCCCTGCTTATTGTCGCCTCGAGAGCAAATCTGAGCCGCGATCAGAAGCAATGATCGTGGCAATCCAACAATCCACCAATCAAGACACACTCGAAGATTTTAACGAAGGGAATGTAGACCAATCTTAGAACTGAATGACTAGTTGAGTAGAGAGAGAGTACATGTGAATATACCTAAGTATTGTACCCTCTAAGAGGCGACCCTATACAGTCTGTGCAAACATAGCAGATACACATGTTTGACACACCCCCTAGACTGCATAGGGACAGGTCCTGAACAAGCAGCTCAGGGCGGCAGTACTAGTCCAGCCACTGAGACAAGGGTCTAAAAGACCAGTCAGAAGGAGTACAGGCAAGGCAAGAACAAGACCAGGGCGGCACTACTAGTCCAGCCACTGGGAGAGGACACAAGTCCAATCTGAGTACACATATATATAAAGGACAGTACAAAGTCAAGGCCCTAGCAAGTAAGAGGCTACAAGAACTAGACCAAGCTGTACACAGTGTCGCTGATGATCTTTTGGCGCAAGCGCCTTCGTAAAGATATCAGCTGTGTTGGCACCTGAGGCCAAGTGTACTACGCGAGCCTGGCAGCGCTGCTGTAGCTCGCGCAGGAGGAAGTACCGCAGCTGGATATGCTTCGCTCTGCCCTCGAGTCGAGGCTCCTGACACAGGAGAATCATGGCCCTGTTGTCAGCGTATAGGACCGGGGCAGAGCTAGGCCGCTCACCTAAGTCAGTGAGCAAGAAGGTCAGCTAGCGGAGCTCGTGTGCCGCCATGGCACCAGCGTAGATCTCGGCCTCACAGCTGGACTGGGCAACAGACGAGGAGCGGGTAGCTCTCCACGAGACGGCACCTGAACCGAGGCTGAAGCAGTCGCCCTGGGAAGACCTGAGTGTCTCGGCGTCGTCTGCCCAAGAAGCGTCTGTGTGTCCAGTAAGGACCACTAGCCTACGTCCTCCTAGCACTAACCCCATGCCCGATGTACTAGCAAGATAACGCAAAACCCTCTTAGCGGCAGACCAGTGATGCGGTCGGTGTCTACCTGTGGCCACAAAGCGAGCAAGGATGCTGAGAGGGTATGCAAGATCTGGGCGAGTGCAAGTCATCAGGTACATGAGGCAACCCACCAGCTCTGCATAGGGGCCACTGGGCTCTACCGACTCCTTAGAAACTGGAGCAGAGAGTCTGTGGTCTACAGGCAGAGGGGTGGACTGTGCAGAAGAGAACTGAAGGCCGAACCTCTGAAGGACCTGGCGCACCAAGTGTGACTGAGTCAGGGTGATGGTGCGCGCTGCTCTGTCCTTGGAGATCTGCAAGCCAAGGTAACGGCGCAGTTCTCCAAGGTCAGTGCACGTGTGTTTCTTTAGCAGCTCTGCCTTCATGGAGGCCAGTGCGTCCCTGTCTGCTGTGGCGAAGACCAGGTCGTCTACATAAACAAGGATGTAGAACGGGGTCTAGCCAGCACGAACGAAGAGCGAGGGGTCTGCAGAGGACGGAAAGAACTGCAGGTCAGCAAGGGTAGCACGCAGCGTATCGTGCCACTCACGGGGAGCCTGCCGCAAGCCGTAGATGGGGCGCCGCACGAGCCACTGGGTCCCAGGAGGGAAGGTACTAGTGAAGCCCTGAGGGCGGCGCAGGTAGACCAGCTCGTGTAGGCTGCCTTGAAGAAACGCAGCGGAGAAGTCGAGAGAGTGTAACTCGTAGTCACGCTGAGCTGCTACGTGTAGCAGCACCCGAAGAGTAGTCATCTTCGGGGTCGGAGCGAAGGTTTGGAAGAAGTCCACCCCCTCACGCTGACTGAAGCCTCTAGCCACGTAGCGCGCCTTGAACACATGCGGCTCTCCAGGAGGGCGCTTCACCTTGAAGAGCCAGCGGCCATCGACTACGTTCACCCCAGGCGGGGGAACTGCGTCGACGAAGGTGCCGGTGGATCTCCAAGATGCCATCTCCTGCTCCATGGCAGCTATCCACTGAGAGGCCCAGGGTCCCGAGGTCGCCTCAGCGTAAGTGCGAGGATCGGGATGTCGAAAGCGTCTGGGTCATCCTCAGGGACTAGCAGCATGGAACAGAGATGGGGAGCAGCCTCGGACAGGAAAGCAAGCTCGAACAGGCGGTCCTCCAGGACGTCACTGCCGAGGGCAGTAGCACCCCCGACAGACGGAGGACAGGTAGGGTCAGAGACCAGAGCGGTGGCGTAGTCAAGGCGACGGGTAGAGGCGAAGTCAGGGACCGCAGCTACAAGAGCGTCAAGACACGAGACCGGAACAGACGGGTCGGTAACGAGAGAGGCAGGGACCCGAGGAACAAGAGGACGAGCGGCACGAAGGTAGTCAGACAGAGGGGGGGGTGCAACGACAAGGGAGGACGGAGGAGGCGACGGGAGAAGGGGAGGACGAGACGCGTGGGAACGAAGCAACATAGGGTGAGAGCGCAAGACAGGGGAGACAGGACGAGCACGGGAGGGACGGCGAGACCAGACGTGAGACGGAGGAGTCGGGTCAAGAGACAGAGGAGGGGACACAGGGGGGGAACGAGGGGGAAGACGAGCCGGGGACGAGTCCGGCGGAGGGAACACGGGGCCGTAGACAGGAAGTGGAGGAGACGGTAGGTGATGAACAGACGTAGGGCCAGGGGACGGAAGGTCGAGCAGGCGAAGGGCTGACACCGGCGGGGACTGCTACTACGGTGGCACAACGCCGACACCGGGACCGCAAGCTGCTCCTCGGCTACCATCGGCACACTCCACGCCAGCACCCCCAGAGGGAACACCCCCAGGGCCCGAAACCCCTCGAGCACCGGTACCACCCCCAGGGCCACCGGGACTAGCACGCACTCAACGCCAGCACCCAGAGAGTCAACGAACGGCTGCTGCGACGGCGGCGGCGGCGGCGGCTGCGACAACGACGGGTGCGGCGGCGGCGGCGGAGGTGACGACGGCTGCGACAGCAAAGGCGACGGCGGCGGCAGAGGCGGTAGAGGAGGGGACGCATGAGGAAGGGCAGCCGGTGGGGACTACGCCGTAGGACCACCAGAGTCAGAAGACTCCTCAAATGGGACCACCGACGGAAGAGGGGTGACGTGGGACACACCAGAGGGGGCAGGACGGGGAGGAGGAGGGGGGGGGGCAGGGACCACTGGGGAAGGAGTGACCAGGAACAGGGGGGGGGTAACCGGGGGACCGCGGTGGGGGGAAGCGACGGCAGAAGGAGACGGACTCGTCAAAGGTGACGTCGCGAGAGTGAAAGAAGCGGTGAGACGGCGGGTGGTAGAAGTGCTAGTCGGACGCGTCAAGGGGAAAACCGAGGAAGATGCAGGGAAGGGTGCGGGCAGTGAGCTTGTCCGTGCCGGAGGCACGGACGTGAGCAAGGCAGCCCCAGACGTGGAACGCAGACGCGCCACCAGGAGACCCGGTCCAAAAGACGGGTCGGCGAAAACCTGCGGCTGCTGGGGTGCGGCCATAGGTTAAGCTGGTGAGAAGCGTAGCGTACGGCAAACGGCCACAAAAAATGGGGTGCACCGGCATGGATCATGGAGGTGCGAGCCACCTCTATGACCAAACCGATGCGTCGCTCAGCGACCCCATTCTGCTGTGGGGAGTCCGGCAGGGTGAACGTCTGGGTGATGCCCTCCGCACGACAAAAGCGACCAAGGACACCTGAGGCAAACTCGCCACCACGGTCGGAGTGAAGACGCAAGGCAGGGAGACCTCGGTGGATACGGGCAGAGACAAGCCAGGGGATGAGAGCGTCAGGCACGTCGGCCTTCCGCTAAAGGGGAAAGACTGTGGTGTAGCGAGTGAAGTCGTCGACAAGCACGAGGAAGTAGCGCTCTCGACGCGGCCCATGGACAGGGGCAGGGCCCCAGACGTCCATGTGCAGGGTCTGCAGCGGCGCGGCGGTAGGGGGAAACGAGGAGGAGTGAGGGGCATGGCGAAGCCAACCCTCGACGCAAGGCGTGCAAGGTGGGGCGGGGGAGGAGGGAAAAGCGGGGAGAGAACCAGGGAGACCAAGGACGAGACCGTGCTGGGACATGTGACGCAGACGCGGGAGCGCAGGGTGACCTAGGCGGTGGTGCCAAAGGAGAGTCGGGTGAGTGAGGACCGACAGGAGCAGGCAGCAGCAACCTGGGTAGACGCAGCCACCTGAAGGGGCGCCCTAGCCGGGGGGTCACGGTGTCCAGAGTGAACAGGCCGGACACCAGGTCCCGGGGGAACGTGGACAGGGGGGCACCCAGTGACGGCCTCGGTACAGACAGCATACCGCTCGTAACCAGGGAACGTAGTGGTGACGCCAAGGTCCTGGAGGCAGCCGACACCAACTAGGTTCCTGGAGAACGAGGGGATATGCAGACCTGTGAGAGAGCCCGAAGGACCGCCGGACAGGGAAGGGTGGTGGAACTGCGGGCGACTACCGGACCGCCGGAGGGGTCAGCAAGAGAAACGGCTGCAGGAACAGGAAGCGGCGTCAGTGTAGTGAAGTCGCGGAAGAAACACCGGGAAGCGCCAGAGTCCAAGGTGAAGGAAAGCAAAGCAGTGGCGTCCAGCGACGGGGCGACGGCGGAAGCACCAAGGCTAAACAAAGCAGGGGATCCTACGTCTGACGCAGCAAGGGAGACTAAGCTAGGCACACCTACACTAGGCGACAATGAATAATAAGCGGGAACACACTAGAGTCATCAGCATACATCACATGCAGAGCAGAAACAATGGCATCCATGTCCATGTCAAAAATCTGAATCCTACGACTAAGCAACTGTGCCAGTTCCG